GGGGTTCGGCCGGGGGCGGCCCCCAAAAGGACCCCTCCCAAGCCCCCGCGAAAGACCACGCCCCCCGAAAAAAATGGGGCTTGGGGGGGGGGGGGGGGGGGGAGGTCGCACGAGCACACACGCGTGGGAAGGCAGTGGGGCAACGACAAGATCGTTAGTCCTGCAGTCGCTCGTAGGGGCGAGCGAGGCAGCCGCGGGCAAAACAGCAATTCTTCGTGTTCGCCGGCAACAGGCGCTGCAGAACAATGGTGGTCGAACAGTGAGAACAAGTGGTGATGCAATCGCGAAAGATAGCCTGGCCTTTTGATATACGGGTGAATAGAGATGAGCTTGTATTGTCGTATTGTCTGTAGGAAGAAGAAGCTAAATCAAACGGAGCAACGGAGCTCTACAATAGCGGCAGCAGATCTGAAACCTCAAAAGTGTGAGTCCAACAAGGTTTAGGGAAGACAGATCAACAGAGACAATCCCTAGAGAAGGCCTACCGAATGGAATAAATGTTGCTGTTGATATTGCCTGTTTGTACTGCTGTCCAAGAAGATTATTTCCGCGTTCTCCATGTTCACAAACTTCTACCAATAGCACCATAAGCACGCAGACAGAAAAAAAAAAAAAGTCGTGTGGCAGTGCCGGAAATGGCGGCTTTGGAACTGTCTCGTCGAGAGCTTTCCGAAAATGAATCATTTGATTTCGGCATCGCCTTCGTCGTGGAATAATAGAGATTTGAAAGTCAGTACAGGGGGTGTGGTATCTTACGCAACCTACGGTAGCCTCATCGGTGAGCACAGGCAAACAGCAGTCGATAGTGCCCGCACGGGCGGGTCGTTCCCGCATGCAACGCTAAGTAGTGCCGCTCCGGGGAAACTTAGGGACGCTGTCCCAAGCACAAGCCGTTCGAGGAAGGAGCTCGACAACAAAAAAAAATGACACTTGCTGGTTAGAATTTATTTAATGCAACTTTCGGCTACCGCTGCAAGTCCCGTGGTCAATTCTGTGCGGTCGGTCGGAGGGGCGGGAGTCGGTAGATCCTATGTCCTTTTCTGTGGAAGGTACAGAAATGAAGCCGTTCAAGATATAGCTGTGTGAAAACACCCACACTGCTGTGTGTGTGTAGGCATGGAGTGTTCTGAAAGTTTAGTGTGTGTGCTTGTTGGAGTTCTTCAGTTTAGTTTTTGGTTTTGGGGGAGACACCCACATGGGGAGAGAGACATGGGTTTCCATTTTTGTAGTGCGATGCGGCAACGTCGGAGTGCTGTGTTTCCTTACGAGACGGATGTCGGAACGAGCATGCCTGCAGCATAAATGCACCACGAGCAAGCAAGTGGGACGCGCCCGCACACGTTATGCGCAAACTTTGTCCATTCTCTCCAAAACGGACGATCATCATCAACTACTTACACGCCCGAGACCTGCGACCACTCCTTGGGTAACTGCAAACACACCGCTGATCGCATGGCTAAGCTCTACAGCACTAGTGATGTTTTGCCCGTACTATCGTAAAGGCAAGCACCGCAGGGGCAAAGGTGGGGTGAGCTTCCTTTGTGTGATCCCGGCTGGTACGTCAGGTGTTGTACGCATATAAACGCCGAAAGGGCTGTAAACCGGCGCCAGAATAGATGGGACGAACACACACACGCTCTGCTGCTGTGGGGAGAAAAACAATTCCATCGTCGTAGTCGTATAGTACAACTAACTGCTCGTGACAAACGGTAACGTACGATGTGCCATTGCGATACAGCAGAACTCTAACAGCAGCGCGTCCTTTGTCTTCAGGTAGATCATCATTCTCCATCTCGTGGTTTCGTTTTCTCGGCGAGGAGCTGCGCTCTTGGAAACTACACTCGGAACTTGCGCCCTAAGTACACGATGATGTACACCTGGCCGTCGGCAGCACAGCAGTAGGGTTGGATGTGGACTGCTTGCTGTGTGTGCATGTACCGTATATGCCACAAGATAACACACCCCCTTGGCCGATTTTCAAAGCTCGATTTCTCAACAGCAGGAAGAGTCACAGCGCCGAAAACGGCGGCGTTGGAACCGTCTCGTCGAGAGCTGTTCGAAAACGTATTGTTTCATTTATGCATCCTCTTCGTCGTGGAGTAATCGAGCTTTGAAAATCGGTCCAGGGGGTGTGTTATCTTGTGTCATATACGGTATGTGCGTGTGCCCGCTGTGTTGTGTGTGCTCTGGAGGCATGCGAGACAGCCAGGCAAAGATAAACACGTGCACGCGCGAGCCCATATCCTCATGCCACCCACGAAAGGCCGGGTGGATTTGCATGGTTCAGGGGGGTAAACCGCTCCGGATACTACAACTACAGCAGTGTACGCGTGCATACAGCAGGTAGAGGCAAGAGCGGAGGCGCTTTTTTTTTTTATATATTATTCTGCTCAAAAGTTCTTGGATTTTCTGATGATTTTCAAAATGGGTTGACTTCTGCATATAAGTTTTGCGTGTGTCGTCAAGACAAATCAACCCAAATGGAGGAGACACCTAGGTATGACAATGGGGGGACGATGAACAAACAAGGGAAGCAGCCATCTGACAAGGGGGGAGCTTTGCCCCGTCGGCTTCAACAACTAGCACGCGAGCTGCCGGTGCTGTAAACGGTGTTGTTCGCGAGCTGGTATCATCTGTTCCCAGGTTGAACATGGGCGCCCTACGAACCAACTCTAACCTGTGGGTTGGACGATTCCAAGAAAAAAAGAGGACGCACTCCAGCAGACTCTTGGGTACACGCTCACCACGATCCCACCACACAGCGCCTGATGCACGCTCCTCCCCTCTTCCCCAGCCACAACAGCGGTAACATCAGCTTCGGCGTCAAGTCTCCGGATATGGGTCGTTCTTCGCTCGCTGCCGGTGCTTTGCCGATGTCGATAGCACCTTCGCGTTCCTCCTTCCCCTCCCTGGGCACAGGAGACATCACACATGGTGGGCGGACTACCAGCGACGTAGAATTCGCGTTGCGGAGGTCGGCGATGGTATTGTACCTGATGGTGATGCCCACAGCGTTGACGAGGGCCGCAACAGGACAGAAGAGGAAGAGCCGAGAGTGAGAAGAGCAAGGAAGCGAAGGGGGGGGGGGGGGGGGGG